CCCGGGGGTCCGGGCCCCGTCCACCCGGGGCCCGTTCTCCCGGTGGCTCGGATCCATCCACCGGGGCCCCATCCGCCGGGGGGCCCGGGCCCTATCCACCCGGGGGCCCGGACCCATCTACAGGGGGCCTGGGTCCCATCCACCCAGGGGGCCGGGCCCGTTCTCCTGGGGGCCCGGGCCCTGTCCACCTGGGGCCCCAGGCCGACCCCTCACCCGAGGTGTCGCAGTGGGCATTTCTCGAAGCGGGCTCGTCCGATTAGATTAGGACCTCTCTCTCTCCTCTCTCTCTCTCTCTCTCTCTCTCTCTCTCTCTCTCTCACTCTCTCTCTCTCGAGCGGGCCCCTGACAGAAATTTCGGGGGGGTCAGCTGACCCTCTGACCCCCCCCCTGGCTGCGCCACTGCCCTCAGAGGCACAAAACGGTCAGTCTTGGATCTCAGAGGCAGAAAATGGGCCATCAGCAACCGGTGTGGGACCTTTAGAGGTCGGTTTGTGCCCTCAGAGGCCAGTTTAAGGCCCTCAGAGACCAGTACAGGGCCTGAAAATGGCAGTTTGAGGCCATCAGAGGCCGACTTAGGCTCTCAAAGGCTAATGCGGGTCCTTGAGGCAAGGATGGGACCCTCAGGGGTCAGTGTGGCACCCTAAAAGACAGGCTTGGGCTGGTGTTGGACCCCAGAGTCCAGAAAAGGCCAAGTTGAGCTCTCAGAGCCGATGCAGGTCCTTAACCCGGCATTTGCTGGGGTATTTCGCCACCCACCGTTTGCTGGGGGGGGGGGGGCGTTAAACGCCCTCAGCCGATAACTCGAGAACCAATAGGCGCAGCGAAACGAACGAGGCGGCAAACGAAAGAACGCGACGAGACGCTTCAGATGAGTACTTTAAAGTTGAATTTTGAGGTCACAGGTCGGGTCAAGGTCACGTCAAACACCTGAAATCGGACTTTCAGTAGCATGGACTTCAGGACTTCACAATGAGCGCCTCCCGTCATAAACTCTGTCAAAACGGTGCACAATCCATCATATAAGGCCTACAAGAGTGTCAGCTCCATGTAGGGGTCAGTCAAGCATAGGTCAGGGTTAAGGTCAGGTCAACCGGGTAGACACATATCCCCGAAAATCAAAACTGATATTCGCAGCCTGTGACACATGTTTTATGGGTAATTTGGGGCGTAGAACACGATGGTGACATTCATTTTATCATATGTGTACGTGTTTGGGTCAAAAAGTTCAAATTAAGAAATGCATGTATCATGGTCGTGAAGTAGTCATGAGAAGTTGCCAAGATTCAGTTCAAGATTTTGGAAAATGCGGAACGATAATCAATAATCGAAGATAGCCATTTGATTGTTCATGGTATTGGCAGTCTAATTGCGTTTACGGCATGTCTGTATGTCTATTCTGTGATTTTATATGATTTTTTGAACATATAACGTGTTTGGTCGAAAACCAAGAAATCATGACGTCACTGAAACCTCGATATCTCAAAACTTTTCCGGCCGATTTTTTTGAAATTTTGTCACAATAAACGTCAAACAATTCCCTAGAGGCACCCAAAATTTGGCGTGCCTGCGGCGCGCCGTTTTTTTTTTTGCTATGGCCCAGCGAAAAAAGTGGGGGCGTTTAACGCCCCCCCCCCAGCAACTCGGGGGGTAACCCTCGCCCGTATAGGGGGGAGTCGAACAGACCCCCCTCGATTTTTTGCGAATAACTCGCGACCTGTGACCTCTTTTCCGTGACCATGTTTGGCCGAAATCGCGATTCGGCGTATGTCGGCTCGCATTAGCCGCGCGTTTGCAAGCTTTTCGTGATTTCAAACGTTCAAACATGTGATTTGATGTTGCTCCCATACATAAGGGTGGGTGTCAAGGTCACCTGAAGGTCAGGTCACGTCATTGACCTTTGGTGACTTCGGGTGACCTCGGTTCACTTTTTCGAGTTTTTTTCATGTTCTAGGCTAGTTTTTTAGCTGAATTCGAATTTAGCAACCATTTGAACATTTACGAAGTAGTTTTGGTGCCTTCGTAACATGTTACGAAGCTGTCAGAGGCGGTTGACACGTAATACGAATACCCGTCACAACCCCTACCGGTTGACCTGACCTGACCTGACCCGACCTGGTCTAAATGCTTAAAACATCATCTCTGATCAAAACTAGCACGATATTCGTGATCAGCACCCCGGAAAACCACATAGCAGCCACACTTTACGACTTTCTAACAGGTCCCGATTTTACCGGTTTTCGGGTCATTGACCTGACCTGGAAGGTCACCCGATGACCTAGGACCTTAAAATTGGGTATCATCGGCTTCCTCTCGTAACGGGCAACACGCTCGTTTTTTCCGTGAAGCTCTAGCTTGATCAGGGGCCAAACGCGAGGGGGGGGGGTGTCGTGCCGCCGAAGGACGCAATGGCCTGTGCCGGCGAGGGTTAAAATTGGGTATCATCGGCTTCCTCTCGTCACGGGCAGCACGCTTGTTTTTTTCCGCGAAGCTCTAGCTCGATCAGGGGCGAAACGGCAAGGGAGGTCCAACGCCCCCCCCCCCCTATACGAGTACCTACGTTCGCGGCTGGAAAAACACCAATACAGGGGATGGTTAAAGGCCGGCATCGGGTCTTCAGAATCCAGTGCGGGGCCCTCAGAGGCTAATATGGGCCTTTACAGGCCAGCGTGGGGCCTCAGAGGTCAGTGTGGGACCCTCAAAGACCGGCATGGGCCAGCAGGGTAGCGCGCTACAAGGCCAAGGATGTATTACAAGTAGATTAAGGTCAATAAAAGCCGTATTTAGATCAAGAGAACGCGTCAAGAGTAAGCTGACCATGCCTCCTAAAAAGAGGCAGCCAGCATCACCTACCTATTCGATTTCTGGTTCAAGGAGCAATCATAGTAAGTTTAACTCTGCACTTTTGCAGTCTTCTTAAAATTTTAAATGTATGTAGACTAGAGATGTCAATCGGATACCAACTTTTTGGTATACCGATACCAAACTGATACCAACTTGGTATTTGGTATTTTGATCCTAATGTTGTTGGTATTTTGTTGGTATTACGAATCCGGCTAATGTATAAGAGGATACGAATTCGGTAAAAAGTTGGTATTTCCCTCATGTTCCCAAGTTGGTTTGGTTTCGGTATTTTTCATGGTTTTGGTTGGCATTTGGTTTGGTATCGGTATCCTGATTTTCCGTTATTGATATCACTAATGTAAACAATATGCATACCTATAAGGTGAAATACACACGAAATACCATATCACACACGACAAACGTTAAACTATAAATGGCACAGTTGGTTGACTGTGAAAGTGACATAGGCCTTAACCCGCCCCCCTCCCCCCAGTCGCAGGTGAAAATGGTTGCACCCCAAAACAAGTGACTGGATCTGCCCTTGGGCAGGGGAGCAGCGAAAAATTTTGCCCACCCAGTGAAAAATCCTTAGAGGAGGCCCTGCGAAAAAGGCACTATTCCAGGCCCATTTTTGATTTTTTTGCGATATTAGGTAAAAACAGAAGCTTCTTATCCTAGGAAAAATAAAATGGGAAATCTTTCCAAGGTGGCACACTACCTTTAATAAAGGATTACCTAGCTGTACGACATACTCAACATAAAAACCACGCATGCTCGCTGTTTTGTTTTATTGCTTTCGCGTTGAATGAGTGTGATCTCTATACTAAAAACTGAAGCTCTTGTGCTCCACCAAGGATGAGCCCGTCTCGAGGGACAGGCCATCTAGCCTCCAAATGCTCACCTCACCCCACCCCACCCCACTGCGTACAGGAGCATGCTCCGATGGGAGCTACTCGAGTCGATTTAAAGTGACCATCGAGTCCGGAACAGGGTTTTCGAGGCGATGACAAGGATTGTGCAGCCTGAGGACAGATCAGGGGGCTGGACGGGCGACTGGTAAGGACTTTGGACTTTATTCAATGAAGACTGGGTAAGTTTGTTTGTTTGTTTTGTTAGGTTAGGTCTTTCGGTCTAACGGGACCATTTCAGATCCCAAAGGATGATATGAGCTAAGGAGGGTCATTGGTCTGGGCGCGCACGTCGGGGCTAAGCCCATCGCGAGGACAGGCTACCCAGCCTCCTGACAGTCAACGCACCCGGCATGCCCGCGGCCACGAGCTTGCTCCTATAGCTGAGGAGCTACCCGCATGGGATAAAGTTGCCTGTCCAGCCCGGAAGGTGGGGCGGAGAAATTGAGAAGGACTTGACTTTCCTGAGGATGGAAATGACGGAACGGAGGAAACTGGTTTTTGTTTTGTTGGGTTAGGCCCTTTCGGTGCAATGGGACCATTTCAGAGCCGGGAGGATGATAGGATATAGGGGGGAGACATTGGTCTGGGCAGGCACCCTAGTGAGTCACCGGGGCTGAGCCCGTCCAGAGGACAGGCCACCCAGCCCCAAGGTACTCACTGCACCCGGCTACGGGGTGCGCTCCCTCGGGAGCAGCGGTGCCGCTCCAAGGGAGCAGCCCGCATGATATAAAGTTGCCTGTCCAGCCCGGAGGGGGTTGCGGCGTGGAGGAGAAGGATTTTAGTATCCTAAGGATAGAAGCACGGAACAGTGGAGGAAACTGGGTAAGGACTAACTTTAAGCTTAAGTACGCTGTGACCTTTTGTGTGTGGTAGATTCAAGAGATGTATTTACCTGCTTGTTTTGTTTAAGAAGTGCAGCCTGCAGGCAAATCCGTTCAAATGCAGCCAAATCCATCCTAAATTGTTAACCTTTTGGACATAGCCCGTGTAATTTTGCTTGTAAAAAACATTACATCCAGCATCCATAATCCATTTTTACGATGCATAGAAAGACCGAAAGACCGTGAACTAGCCAAACCATCACACAATAGGTGGCGCTTCTCCTACAACCAGCCGGGCATAGTAGGTCGTTTTCCCACCCCTCCTCCGCGCTATCTAGCGTCAGACAGCCGAACCACCTCCGCCGCGCCTGTCCGGCCGCTAGCGCCAACTGGCGGGCAGGTGTCGAACCACGAAGGTCAGCCAGCATGGAGCATGGCCGGCGGCGATGTCAGAAACGGGACCGGGCGGCGGCGGGCCGGGCGCGCTGACCGCTGAGCCGGCGTCTGGGTCGCCTTCTGTCCGTGTGCCGCTGTCGGAGTGAGGGGCCGCGCTGTGCCGCGTGGGCAGGACGAGTCTGGGGACGGTCTGTGTGAGCGGTGGGGCAGCGGGGCTGTGCCGGTGTGCGAACGGCCGTGGGACGCGCAGTGACGGGGAGCCGGCAGTGCTGCAGTATGGCGGACGGGCCGCGCGCAGTGCCGTGTTTGTGAAAGTCTCAGCTGCGCGGCGGATCGGTCGGCAGTGGTGGCGTCGGGCGACGGTGAACAGCAACAATGGCGTTCCTCTGTCCTGTCAGGATTCGGCGGAACAAGAAGAAGAAATGTGAGTAGTTGGGTGGGTGGACGGTGGGGAGCCCCGTAACAAAGCAGCAGGTTCTTGGGATTAGCGATGCTCGGTATGTGGGATGTAGTAGGGCCTAAAAGATGGTGGGTGAGCATCATTCCATCAAAACCATGCAACCGTTGAAACTGTTTTTATTATTCAGACGTTCTGAGATTTGATTCACGGTTTAAAGCGAGATGGTGGAAGAGAAATGGGAAAACTTTTTTGCTCAGATATGATAAAGCACTGTCACGGACACTGATTTGCTTAATTGTATTCTAATGAGTTTCTTGTGAGCTCCAATGTCGCTGTCATGGTACTTTATGATGGTTATGTATGAGGAAGCCCTTCTGACTATGTATGCGACAGACGACGCCTATGTCCTATAACCCTTTGAACGACCGGACGGACCGGTTCGGTGGGGAAAATCACCCCTCCCCAGCCTCCCCCACCAGCTGACTCGCTCGCCCGCGGGTCTCCACGCGTCGCCAGGTCAACGTGGGCTGTCACAATCAATCACGGTCGTGTCTGAGAGGTCAGCCGATCGGTCTCACGTTCCCTCACTTCGCTGTCCGATCCTTGATTACACGAATCGTAATCAGCCGGCGCCGAGCGCCCAATTCGACATGTTGTGACACGTCATATGTATGCGCTTTAGCGATGGTGCCTCTGGGTGCCCGATATCAAACAGTGGCCGTGCGTGCGCACCTCTGCGTCCAACGGTATCTCCTCTGTGAGACGGGCCGCTAGCTGCTGGTGTTATTAGCCTGTGCGCTACTGCAGTCTTCCATAGGCCGTACTGCAGTCTCCCATAGGCCGTAGGCGCTATTGGCATGCAGCATGCAGGCTACTGCAGTCTTCCATAGGCCGTAGGCGCTATTGGCATGCAGGCTTCTGCATCAGCACTAGTAATCAAGCAATTCAAGCATCAGCAATCAAGTCTCCCATGGCTCGCTGGTGTTATCTACCTGTCGCTATAGCAGTCACCCGATGCTGCTGGTGTTATTTGTCTATGCGTCACTGCAGTCTCCCATTAGCCGCTGGTGTTATTTGCCTGTAGGCTACCGCAGTCGCCAGTGGCCCGCTGGTGTTAGCTGCCTGTGCGCTACTGCAGTCTCCTTATGTTCACTGGTGTTATCTACCCTGCGGTATTGCAGTCTCCACGGAACAGGGCCCTCTGGTGCTATTTGCCTGTGCGCTATAGCAGTCTCCCCTACCCGGCCGCTACCTGAGTATCTGGGTTGCGTCATTGCAGTCTCCCGTGGCCCGCTGGTGTTATTGCCTGTAGGCTATTGCAGTCTCCCGGAGACTGTTGGTGTTATTAGCCAGTGTGTCCGAGTGCAGTATGCGCTTAGTTGCAGCCCATGTCCCGCCGTTGTTATCTGCCTGTGAGCTATTACAGTCTCCACTGGTGTTATCTTCCTGTGCCCCACTGCAGTCTCCGGACCGTTAGGTGCTCATGCAGCGAGGCAGTCTCCGGGCCGGGCCGGGCCGGCGCGGGCGGCTCAGTATCCGCTGCCGGCCTGTGGCCGAGCTGCCTCAGAAACTGGGAGGATTAATATCATTCAGCGTTGCAGGAAATGTGTGATAAAGAGCATATTTATTATTTATAATACATACGGGTAGATATGATAGGTAATTGATCTTACCGGCGGCAGTTGGGTGAGAAGTTAAAAGTAGCAAAGGCAAGAAGAAAAAGGTTGCTGCATAGGCACTGTTTCCATGACATCTTCAGCATGCGTGTTACTTTTCTGATCACCGCTGTTCGGGTTTTCCACCTGGTTTCTCATGACTGAATCCCTAATTCAGTATGTCTTATCTATCACATTATACTTTCATTCAGCCATGGTCGATTGAGGAGGAACCTTAACCCTCGCCCGCACATGGGGGGGGGGGGTGGTTGCCACCCCCTCAGGCAGTTTTTCTGCTCTGCACTCCACATTTTTAGAGTTAGAAGGCTGATTTTTCGTATAGCTGCTCGTCTATCCTTTCTTGATGTCCACTGAAAATTTCAAGTTTCTGTGATTTTTGGTTTCGGAGATATGACCTTGTTTTTCAGGTCATGTCATGACCCAAATGGCCAATTCTCAACATCTTGCGTTTTCCATGGGCCTTGTGAGCTTTTGACACCCTGATTTCGGCCTTTTTCGCCAGTCTTACCTCCCACCTATCATGGAACATGTTGTTCGACGATGTACAGGGGTCAGGGTCAAGGTCAACCTAGGTCATCTAAGATAATTGCGTTTTAGGCAAGCTGAATTTACTTTTTGTGAAGTTTTTTGACTGCATTTTTGGTAAAAGCTTCTCAGATCATGATTTCATGTGATATGGACCCAAAAACAATCGGTGCACACATCAGTATACACACAGACACACACAGACATACAAACACATATAATTGACCTTGACCTAACTTGACCTGAAATGACCTCAGCAGCAAAATTCTGGTCGGATAGTGTGACAAAGAGGTTCTAGCTGGCTTGGCACCAGAAAACAGCATCGTCATCGGTATTTGATAAGCAGCGCACTTGATATCCAACGGTGACCCAAAACAGCAACATTTTTTAGTTTGACCTGACCTGGAAGGTCAATGACTGACCTGAGAAGGTAAAACTGGGTATCATTAGATTCGTCTCTTCCCAAAGAATCTTTTTGGTCTTTACTGCTAAGCTCTATCTCCAACAGGAACGAAATGGCGCGGGGGGGGGGTGGCAACCCCCCCCCCCCATGTGCGTTCTAGGATTGGAAAATGGCATGTGCGGGCGAGGGTTAATCCTGCCTCATGCATTCTGAAGCGACGGTCCGATAAGCAACTCTACAAAGCCGGTCTTGGCGTGCCAAGCTAAATTTGGAATTACAATAGGACATGTGTGCAGTAAACGTAAATAACACACCATTCTGTCATGGCTGGCTCAGTCGTTGCCATGATAAGGGAGCCTCTCATGCTAAGGTTTGTCACTTGTGTTCCTCAGTAGATCTAGGATGCGTTGTGGATAAATGCAGCACAAATAGCACACACGACGTGCTATTGGAAGCTGTATAGTCATTGACGCTGCTCATGGACGGCGACACATACCAAATAAGCGCTATCTCGTCTGAATTGCAAACAGTTACTAACTGTTTGCTAACTGTTTGTTAATGCTGAATGATGGTCGAACAACTACTGGATATGCCCGTTTATTTACACCGTTAAATGACAAACAGAAAGATCTCCACTTAATTCCTCTGGATAGAGTAATGCATAATGAATAATGAGCACTGGCTGATGCCGATTTTTATGACTCTACTCCACTCATTCGTGCCCCTTTGATAGGCCTTGATGTCGGGGTTCGTGTTTCCGGCTCCTCAAGGCCCCTGATTGGGACCTTTTTACGGGCGTTTGATGGCAGCTGTCTCATGACGAAGCCCGAGCAAATGACTGACTAGACTAGAGGTCACATAAAAGAGCAGCCTCTGAACTGATGGTTGCTCTTATTGATCATTGCTTTGCAGCTGTTAGTGACGGGTTAATTAGAAGCCCTTGTTTAACAACGTTTTTAAAACAAACAACGCACTAATTATCGCGATAAAATAAGCAGAAAAAAATCAAGATCACTACAGGAGAGCCCATTCTTCTTTACAAGATATCTTAAAAAAGGTTGTTCTGTGTAATTCCGTTACCCTGACCTGACCTGACGTGACCTGACCTTTCTTCAGCTAACGATGACACGGCCTCGGTGCGGACACCGGGGATGGGCCGCATCACCGGCTCGTCCAGTATCGAGACCCTGGTGCGGGTCGGCATCGAGAAGGAGAACGGCCTCTCCGCCGACAGCAAGATGGTGGTGCTACACGACTTCACTCCGTGCGTGGACGACGAGTTGGAGGTCAAACGCGGCACGGTCAGTACCCACTACGGGGAGGGGTGACGGTCAGTACCCATTGTGGGGAGGGGGTAACGGTCAGTACCCATTACGGGGGAGAGGGTGACGGTCAGTACCCAATGTGGGGGAGAGGGTGACGGACAGTACCCACTGCGGGGAGGGGTGACGGTCAGTAGTTCAGTACCCACTGCAGGGGAGGGGTGACGGTCAGTACCCACAGCGGGGAGAGGGGTGGCGGCGGGGTGACGGTCAGTACCCACTGCGGGGGGAGAGGGTTTCACGGTCAGTACCCACTGCGGGGAGGTGATAGTGCTAGCACTGTTAGAGCGGGGGGAGGGGGGCTACTTGCAATTACAAGGATTAGGGATATGTGCATTGTGCAGCTTTGGATCGGTAGCTTCATATTCAGATGCGATCACGATCACCCAAACGCCAGCGGCCTGCTTTGGCTTTCTTTGCGTGCACAACGCCTGCGATATTTTGATGAAGGTGTGTGTTTCTAGTGTTGTTGAAAGTGAAAGAGTAAAAAACGAGTCTTATTTGCTACTCTTGCTGAGTTGATATCTTATGCTACGCACCCCGATCTCACTGACAAATAACAGATAGCTGAGCGGATACAAACATTCAGCTTGTATCATGTGAAATGGATGTCGGCTGGTTTTGGCCAGCTATGTGGGCGTGCCTTCAAGGGAATATTAGTCTCGGAACTTGTTCATTGTTCCGCGCCATCTGTTGCCACTTGAATGCCGCTCGCTTCACTGTCTTTGTAGCCACTTCCAATGGCCCACCTGATCAGGCCGGCATATGTGAGAGCCAGAAATCACGAGGGTAATTCTGGATAATGGATGCGAGCAGGCCATGAAAAAGGAGCACGCGGGAGCCTACACGGCCCAGTTGTGAGGCGCTCGGCGATAGACAGACAGTCTGTGCCGGCTAGTGGACCGAAATTCCTCCAGTCAATCCACTCGGAACGCTTTTATATGAAAGCATAACGATCCCCGAGCTGTGAGAATGAGCGAATGGGACCAAAGAAAGCGATTCGCCGATAAGCATTTAGCGAAGGACGATTTCACTGACAATCTTTTTCAGAATAATATTTGTACTGCGCTATCCTGGACGATCCTCCTTTTCTTTAAAGTAATATCGACTTGCAAAAAGCAAACGTTTGAATGAAACATGCCAGTTGGCTTGTTATTGCAACTTCACAAGTGCGTCTCATTTGCTACTTTGATTGTTTGAGTTTCTTACTGCCGCGCATTTGTTGCAAGCTGTGGTTTTTTTCGGATGAATGTCAAGAAAGAACAATCTCATTTTCGGAATAGTTTTAATCCCCACCCACTCCCCCGTGATCTTCCACTCGCTTCTGAACGGATGCAGAGGGGTGGAGGGTGTCGGTCGGTAAACTCTGGTGTGCAGTCGCTGCCCCCAGCCGTCTGCGAGGGCTAGAGGTGGGAGGTGCCCGGCTCCTCACTCATCCGACCGCCTGCAGCGGCGGAGAGGCGCCGGCCGTGCAGTCGGTGCCCCCGGTCAGCTGACAGCAAGGTCACGGACGCGCCGCGGCCGCCGCTGCCATGTCGGTTCTGAAGGCCAGGGACCGGCCCGGCGCCCGGCGCGGCGCGGCGCCCCCTCATAGATACGTTATCGGACTCATCTGACCGGCATGTCCGCCACCATCCGTGGAATGTAACACCGAGTCCGCGCCCACGCGTTCAAACACCATCGCTCCGTCTCCGGCCGGTACCCACCGGTCGTGTTCCCTCAGTTACCGTCCCCACCAGGTCAGCCCGTCTCACAAAGAACTAACTGACGGCGCCGGGGTGGCCAGTCCGGTGCGGGTCGGCTCCTTTTGTCGGTGGGAGCGCCTGCCAGGTGTCCGATGTCGCCGGCGGGCACTGGAAGCCGCACCGAGGCCGGTCGGGGCCGGCGCGGCGCGTCACGGACCGCGCGCTGAGGTGCGGTGCGGAGGCCGACCGACAGAGCCGGACGCGGCGGCTCAAATTGGTGAAAACGCTGCGGACCTCCAGAGAACGGCGCCTGCCGGCCTGCGCTCGATCGCTCCAGTTATTAGGAGCATAAAATGGAGTCGGTACAAAAAACAAAGGCCTGAGAGACGCGAGATGATTGAAACAGGCAGCAGCGACGAGTGAGAGGGAGAGAGAGAGAGAGAGAGAGAGAGAGAGAGAGAGAGAGAGAGAGAGAGAGAGAGAGAGAGAGAGAGAGAGAGAGAGGGAAAGAGAGTGAGAGAGAGAAAGAGAGCACAGACCGTGGAGAGAGGTGGAGAGAGGTGGAGTGGAAGCCCGCCCGAATGCGCCGCTCTATTCACCGTGCGGGAAACTCGGTGATGAAATAGTGAAATAAAAAGCAGCTCATGTCTGCTGATCGATTCAAAGCACAGCAAATCAGCCGTTGTAGAAGTGATAGCGGTGACGGAAACAATCAATAAAACCTATTCAAATGCGCGCCCGCGGCCGGCGCCGATCGCGCGTGGCATAATGAGCTGTTTCCCAAACTGATTTGGATAGATTGCCGAGCTGGTGCGCTGTTGGCCGCGCTGTTACTGGGAAGATTGACCAAACACCGACACCCGCTAATTTCAGTGTCTGAACGCAGTCAGACGTATACCTACCTAAGTAACAATCAGCCAATCAGGCACCAGATCCAGCTGAAGGTGCGGTTCAGCGGAAGGCAGGGTCTGAGTGTGTAGTTAGGCACCCAAAAAGGAAAGTGTCGCAGTCTGTTACTCTCGATAGTCGATGGTATAAGTTAAGGATAGATGAATGTTTAAATATAGGTACTTGCTTTGTAACAACAGTTTTACTGGACTTCTTAGATTAAATTCTTCTCTTTAGTAACCAGTGACTGGTGACCTTTGCATACTATTGATCTGCAGTAGCGCTTATTTTCGACCTCCGGCCAGCTCTAGTTAGCTATTCCTACTGGCACGGCCAGTTTGCATTTATGTCGTTATTGAATTGTGATCGCTACACACTTGAATTTATGCCTTACCATTACCAATAACCCGGGTTGAATTTACTGTTACGAGGCCCTTAGATTTAGAAGGGCCTCGCTAGCAGGGACTCTGGTCCCTGACACAGTGCCCTGACAGAGCTGCCCCGACACAGAATACCACGCGGTAACTGTAGCGCACATTTCTGCTTTGAAGGCACGGTTTCCGATAATGGTGGCACCGTCGGGCGGAAAATGTCTCTCAGCCCGAGACTCGTTTATCGCTCAGATCGCCGCTGTGAGTAGAACACACTGTCCGAGCCCTGGAGCGGCGGCAGGTCCGATTTCTCGTCTTACACTGCCTCACTGGGGCCATTGTTTGGTGATTCGGAGGTATTCTGTTCACGGACTGGGACGACGCGACCGTATAAGGTGCCACAAGTTAGCCCAGCGCCCATGGACAGGTGTCCTTTGTGTTTGGACTGGAAGCTAATAACTGGTGTCCTGGATTCTGGTCTAAGGATCCCTTGAGGCTTAGGTGACAGTGGTTGATATTCTTCTGTGTGAATAGACAGCCAATCCACCGGCTTTCCATTTTGCAAAACTTCTTTGTTTCACCAACTTTTTCCTCCAAATCATCGTCCCACATTGGTTATTTTGGGTGAATAAGTTTGCATACTTCAAAACTTCAGTTCGTAAGTAACTGAATGAAATAAAAAGTTTCTGAATTCGTAAGTAATTAATTTTACATTTACATTACAGCTATACTTGTGATATCGTTGTTCCCATCTAACTACGCTTTTTGCAAAAAAAAAACTTTCGTTTTCTATATGAACAATATAAAACATCACAATCGTCAAGCATAAGCTCATTACCACTTCAAACAACATCCTTCTCGCCTATCGACTAGACCCATCGCCGGCCAATCAACTGGATGCGATTCACCGGGCTGTATTTCCGGCCCCTCCCCCCCCCCCACCCTCCCGGTCCCTGGCGACGGGAGCGGTGGGGCGGTGCTAGTCACTGCTAATCTCTCGCGGGGCGGTGGGAAGGGAAGGGCTGCCGATCGCAGAAGGGCGGCCGAGGGCAGCCCAGTCGGCGGCGCACTTCCGTTCGCTGGTGGTTGGGTGGGGAGAGGTTGGTGCTTGCGGTCAGCACTTGCGGGCAGTTTGCGCTCAGTTGCGTATATGAACGACGGTGGTTCAGAAAGCCGTACAGGGAAACACGTGTGTGTCGTGTTTGAGTAGCGTGATGGATGCTGTGTCGGTCGGCTTTTTTATTATACAACAATGTGAGATAACTCTAACACGAATGTCACGCCGTTTATAGCCCATGGACACGAAAATGAATGTTTTAATAAGAGATTCGGGCAATGAAAGAAACAAAGCTCTTGACGTAGGCATCTGGGCTGTTATTGAAACAGGCCCAAAACTGGCTCGCGGAGCTTGCTTTGAACGGATATATTAGCCGGCTCATTTCAGTCACGCGTGCGCCATTTAATCGCCGAATGTGCGGTACTTAACCACCATTAGTGGCGGCGATCTGGCCGGTTATCGCCGCGTTTGTCACGCTCTGGTGTTCAGTGACCAGCGTCATCCCGGTCAGACGGCCAATCACCGACCGCCGACAAATAGTTGACCAGCCGTCCGGCGGTGTTGGACGACAGCTGACGCCACAGACAGCCGGGCTGCCGAACGGGGCGGGTTTTTGGACGACACGCAGTCGACGGCTCGGGCAGTCGAGCAGCTGCCGAGATGTCAAGACAGACCGCTCAGGCACGGACCACTCTGCTGATGGAATGGCTCGGCTCCTGGCGACACAGATGTGCGATCGATGCTATCACGGTTTTACGAAATCGCCGCGGTATTCGAGGCGCTAGAGATACCGTTTCTGAATCGGTCATCCCTATCGCCAGCGACCGGAGTGGGCGGCTGGTGGGAGCGTGACTGGACCATCCCACCGGCGCCGCGGGCTCGCCCATCACCGGGGCACTTCTAGCGATAACTGGCCAATCGGGCGGTCATCCGACTCCTCCCCCGCCGGGTCAGAGCGCGGCGCGGTCGACTGGAGGC